AGCAAATTAAACAATTGCCTTGGTTCAGTCTTTTTATTCCTAATGGCTTAAGACATAAGGACTCAAAGCTGTCTTTGGGACTGAATCTAGAAAAGATTATGAGCTGGTTCTTAGGTTCAGGGAGCGCCTTAGAAAAGCAATCTAATCCCACTCATATTTTGTGGCAACGTAATAAATATCAGCGATATTTAACTGACATTTCAAAGCTTCACGGGAGAGTCATTGCATTTGTTAGCCTTTACTCTCATTCCTTCATCTTGCTTTAGTGCAGGAAATGGATGTTGCCAAAAATTGAGAAGTATCACTGAGATCAAAAAAGTGAATTAATTTTAATGCAAAAAAATTATTCACATTCAGTGAAAAGAAGCTCATACCGAACTGCCAAGTCTGATGACTGACCCTAAACCTTGTTCTTCAAGTTTCAGTCAGACTATTTCCATTAGCAGTGTTATATAACTACTGAGAGACTTCACTACAAAGACTTAAGGGCTCTCCTTTCCTGCTAGGCCAGCAGGATTTCTCCATGTTATTTTCCTATCCTATGCCACTTTCCAGCACGGAGGGCTCAGTCTGAGCAGGACACTGGGAGGTATTTCTCCAGAGAATGCTGCAGACCTAATTGCTCATCATGCAGCAGGGATTGTGAGGGCAGTGACTCCAAGCCTTCTTTCACAATCTGCTCTTCAAGCTGACAACAGCAGCAGCTCAAAGAGCAGCTGCACAGCTGTTTGCTCTTTCCCAAGTGCAAAGAGTGTGCCTTCAAGCACACTGAAATGAAAAGGCAGAGAAGCTTCACATAATTCAACTGATGTTGGATTACGTCTCAAAGGCGTAAGGTGTCAGGAGGTGCGTTATAAACCTCAGGGGCTTCTGTTAGTTATAATGATGCTGAATTACGAGAAATAAAGAATGCTACCATGTTCTTTGTGCCACTTGCTAATGAGATTATTTCCACACAGGTCAGAAACACAAACAGCTCCTGGATGAAACACTTACCAACAGATATCAGTAGATCTGAATCACAGTGGATGCTATGAAACCATCTATTTGGGCTGTTACATCCACATTAACAATGATGTACGTCTACACAGGTTAGACAGAGTGAAAAATCATGGCAAACAGAAAGGAAGATTGCTGCAAAAAACATTTGTTTGCAGATTATTTGAAAGTTCAGACTTTCAGGTGTATTACCAGATATTTATCAAAGTTGTTGAAGGTTGCAAGATAGTATCCAACTGCTAGTTTGCTTCTCTGAAACAGCTCTTAATCAGTGACTCAAGAAACACATAATATCTATATCCTGAAAAGTGACTCCTTGTACCACTTAGTCAAAATCCGCCATTGATCATAAATCATTAGTGTCCACATAAATGTTTTCATGTCCCAGTTTGATCCACTGACTAGTCAGGCTCTGCTCCACAGCTGTACGTAAATGACTAGATATAGAAATGATACAGAAACAATCTCAGTAAGCAACATTACCTTGCTGATTTTTCCACAGAGCCTAAGAACAGCCAGGAAGGTTTACATAGGCTAGAGGGACTAATAGAAGGGAGATGCCTGTGACATACCTTAGATGAAAAATGAAATTGGGGCAGTCATCATGAATCTCCTAGTCAGCCAGGGAAATTTCTATCATAATACCTTTGCTGTCAGTACTACTTTATGTTAAGAAGCAACATTAGGGTAGGAAATTCCTCATACTTTTTCAAATCCAGCCGAGAACTGAGCACCATATTTTACACACAAAATCTGTACTACCTGCATGCATAATGATATTGCTTCTTTAAACAGAGCAGGAACTTGATCTCTAATTCTTTCATTATTATCTGCTTACTTAAGGATTTGTAAATGGTAACATTTAGAAAGTATCACTGAAGTCAGGGTACTCCCAGACTGAAATTTTTTACTCTCCCATCCTAAGGCTCTCAAGCTAGAAGAAATATCACTGAGCAGTAATTATCAGCAACAATTTAGTTATCTGAAATAAATCATTTTGATTTAAAAAACAAAACAGAAAATTACTTCCCCATCCCTGATATGAAAACTTTGCCCTACCTAATATGCTTAATCATAAATTATCTAGTAAAGATATATCTTTTAGAAGCAATGAATGGTATTGCGGGACTAATTCACTAAATCTGCCATAACACACTTGAGAGATAATTGAGACGTCAAGCCTCATCAATATCAACCTACTTAAAGTAAGGACAAGAGGACAGTGGAGGAATGATAATGAATAATGCCATTACTTGAAGCTAGTTAACTTATAGCTTAAAAACAGATACATATCAGTCACTACTCTGAGAAGGTCCTTGAATGTTGTGAAAGTCTACATTGATAAGTATCTCAGTTCCTTAAAAGCTTATTTCTATAGAAATTGATTGCTTTAGGAGGGCAGTAGTCTTCTTTGTATTTTAACTTCCTGACTTGTACCTTTGATTAAATTTTAACTTACCACACAGGAGTCCAAATAATGAGGTTAGAGAGCACACAGGAAACATTAGTAAAATATACACATTTTAAAAAAAAATCTCTTTCTGACCAGGCAGAGGAAAATAAGTGCCAGATCTCTCAAGAGCTTCAAACCTCAGAGGAGGTTTCTGCTATTTTTCAGCACTATTAATTTGTTCTCAATCTTATTCTTAGTAATTGGTTGTATATCTCCTTATCTGATCAATAAACATACATATAAACACCACATTACTTTCTCATCAAATGTCTTGCATCGCAGTTATCATCCACTCATGCTGAAAATGGACACTGAAAACAATCCCATTTCCTGTTATCCTATCCTTTCTCCCCTTTCACTTCCTCCATTTCCCTCCTCGTCAGCTCACTCCCCATTTTGATATCCCTCTCTCATAGGGTATCATTTCACAGGTGCTCACTCCTTCCTTTCTTTCTGTACTCGTTAACTCCACAGCCTCCTTAGTATAGTTCCATAGTCTTCCTGTACCATCACTAGAACTCTTTTCCCTTTTTCTCTTCTTCTCTGAAAACATACTAAGTTCAGTAAGCTTTCCTCTGTAGCCATTGATGAAGGATGTAGGAGACACAGAAAATATTCACGAGTTTAACAATTCTCTGCCTTGACAATTGTAAAAACCTTTGCAAGCATTGTACTTCTCACTGCTCTTATTCATTTTATCCACAATGTACTGCCAAGCTATGTGATGTTCTGGACATTTCATCCCACTTCTTAAATAAACCTCATTAGCTCTGTACTCATCTGGAGTACTGTGTCCAGGTGTGGAGCCCTCAGTACAAGAAAGACATTGAGATTTTGGAAAGGGTCCAGAGGAGGGCGACTAAGATGATCAGGGGGCTGGAGCACCTCCCCTATGAGGACAGGCTGAGGGAGTTGGGCTTGTTCAGCCTGGAGAAGAGAAGGCTGCGTGGTGACCTCATTGCAGCCTATCAATACCTGAAGGGAACCTACACCCACGAGGGGAGTAAACTCTTCAAAAGGGCTGACAACAGCAGGAATAGGGGAAATGGATCCAAGTTGAAGGAGGGAAGATTTAGGTTGGATGTTAGGGGGAAGTTCTATACAAGGAGAGTGGTTAGGCCCTGGAACGGGCTGCCCAGGGAGGTTGTGGATGCCCCGTCCTTGGATGTGTTCAAGGCCAGGTTGGACAGGGTCCTGGGCAATCTGATCTGAATGTGTGTGTTTGGTGGCCCTGCTAGGCAGGGGGGTTGGAACTACATGATCCTTGAGGTCCCTTCCAACCCGGGTGATTCTGTGATTCTGTGTACCTCCCATAGGATTTTCAGATCCCTCATCCTCAGACCCTGCCCTGAGCAGTTCCCTCTTTTTGTCTGGCACCTGGTGCATTCTCTTCCAGTTCTGTTTGTTTTGCTTTCATCTTACCCTAACGGCATTTCTGTGCCTTCCCCTATTCACACGCTCTCTGCTTGAAACAGCTCTTGAAGCTGATGACTTCTCCATTTCCCTCTTGATCACCTTCTCTTTCCTACTCTGTTGAAGACTGTCATACAAACCATCTTTTTCACTTACAATTAGTCAATTCTTTGATTCCTGGCAGAGAGAAAAATATTACATTTAGATACCAACAAACATCAATTTTCAGTTCTGCTCAGTGCCTTCCTTCTTTCTCACATACCTGGCTTTCTATTATTCATTTTATTTCACTGCTTTGCTTTCTTTCATAATCCTTCACCTCCCCATACCTGCATTATACTTTTTATGCCTAATCATCTCCTGCTCACTCCCTTGGTTTATGCCTTTTCTCTTTGTTTTTCAGTGAATATGACAGGTTACTACTAGATCTCATTCTGTCTGAGAACAGCCTACCTTATTCTGGGTGACAAAAAAAATAAATACAATAACATGGCAATTAAAATTCAGTAAGGCACAATCAGAGCTGGCACTAACATCTTTTTCCTGGTCTCTTTCCCTCTCTCAACAGCTATTACAATTTGGAAAATTTCAACTAATAAAAACCAAAACTTTATCCCGATCTCCTAGGAAGCACAGCTTGTATGATCAAAACCTGCTGATCAGTCTATCCTAATCACCTTTGTACTTGTAAGTCACTATCAAACAAATAATACAAAGAGAGTAAGGACAGAGAAGTTATCAGAGTTGAACCAAAGAGCAATAAAAATTAGCATCTTCATTAACTGTGGGATGCAGCAGCCAGTGCAGGATGCAGTCCACCCATTTGGTATGCGCCTGGCTTGAGAGCAGCCAAAGCTCTTCTGGCACATACCCAGTGATACAGGTAATGAGAGGGAACTGGAGGTACAGATATGAAAAAAAAACCAGAAGAAAAAACTGCAAGAAGCCAGCCTTCCTTAGCTTCCCTGCTTACAGTGAAAAAATCTATGTTTATTTCACCCAACATGAAACCACTGTGCATTTCATCTTTTCCAGGATCAGGACATAACTCTGGCACACTAATATCTAAAACACAAATGACAAATTTTTTCTTTTCTGTTTCTCCAATCCAGAGACAGAGCAACATGCTCCCTACCTTTTCTGAATTATACTGGGATTTGCAGTCACCAGCTGGGTTTTCAATCCAACATCCTTGCTGTATTCTCTGGATAGAGGAGGAAGGTTGCACCTGTGCACAGAAAGACATTCAAGATTTTAACTGACAGTCAGGATTGACAGGCTTCATCCCCAGTCTTTTTTATTCTGCAAGTTTGCAGTTTTAGAAAAAGAACTGCAAGCTGACAGAAAATGTGAAAGTGCTGTACAAACACTGGACCAAGCTAGGCATTCTCCTACTATACTACATCCCATATGCACAATAGGGCATTTTTGCACCAGACTGTGGGGAAATATACAAAAAAAAAAAAATCTTTTGTAGACATGATCCTATGAACTATTAAGCAAAAACAAAGTGACCTGGCACCTCTGACAGGTTGAAAGGCTACAGCTGTTATTATCTACAGCCAAAACTTTTTTCAAACTCTTTCCTTCAAATTCTCTTTTTCACTCTGCTTTGTCTTGTTTTCTAGCATCAGGCTCTGGATTGGTATCACACACATCACATACGTCTTGCAAACAACAGGTAAATGCCCTTCAGTATAAAGAACTTACCAAGAAAATACAGAGAAAAAAATGCAAGTGATTACTTACAGTGTGCATACTATGTTCTCTACAGTCTTGTTCTGGCAGACAGGGCAATAATATAAAAAAGATAAAGTGACCGAGTAGATCTACTTTGGCAAGCAAACAGGGCTCCAAAAAACACAAGTGGAGAGAAACATGCAAACAAGGAGCAGTCCTAAATACTCCTAATTAAAGAGGTGGAAGAAGAAGGAAGGATTGTAAATAAAGGTGAAAATATGAGGCTGCTCCAAAAGTAATGTCTCCCACTTTAATATCTTGGCCCACAATATCAGAAGTAGATGTTGGTGGTATGGCAGTAGAGGCTGAACCCTCCCTCTGATATTCCATTACATCTTGTTGCTGTGTGTCAGAGGACAGCAGAGGGGCTGTCTGACAAAACAGCATCTGACACAGAAGTGAGTATGAAGCAAAGGTGTGGAATTAAATTCCTCCATGCAGAAAAAAATTGTACTCACTGAGATTCATCAGTGCTTGGTGAATGTTGATGGAATCCAAGCACTGGATGACAGCACGAGACAATGGAAGGTGTGTTTCAGCAGGGTGACAGTGGGTCACCTCCACTGTTGCAGATTCTTATGAGCATGGCATGCAGCTCTCGTTCATCACTGGCAAAAAAGGTAGCTAATGGTGACTATGTTGAAAAATAATGTTTTGTAGCTGAGAATTTGCTCTATCAAATAGTGTGATTGTGCTCTTTGTATCTACTAGAGTTTTCTTAGAAATAAATAGGAGGCATCACTTTTAGAGCAAATGACATAAATTCAAGCTGTATCCAAGATTCAGCCCTGTTATAGAAATTAGTCACGAGAAATGAACTCAACAACAGCAATTACACTAAAAACGAGTGTCAAAACACTGCTTTCAATTTCAGAGTTGTCTAACTTCTTAAACCAAAGATATGAAGAATAATACTAGTGCTTACAGGGTAAAAACAAAACCAAGATTCTCAAAGAAAAGTGGAATTGGGAATTTTTCTGGAGCAAGACTGTTAGTGCTGTTGGGTTGTTTTCTGAGGTGGTTTTGCTGTTGTTTTTTTTTCCCCCAAAATCTTGTACAGACAAGCTGAGGTGCATCTCCCTGCTGCCCCAGGGCCTCAGCCTGGCAGGGAGCTGTTACTTCAAATCCACCACTTCTCCTCTGTTACCAGGGAGACACGGGTCTCCATGCCTGGGTTGCACTTCTGGGAGAGGCAGCTTCATTTTCTTCCCATGCTCCCATTAAACTCTCTGGCACTCTGGTTCAGGAGCACAGCTCCAGCAGTTTTCAATGGTAGGTCAAACAAATGTTTGTGAAGAAAGATGTATGTACAGGTGACCTTGCCCTAGATTAAAGAGATGGAATAAGCGACCTCTGGCAGGCCACAGTTTAATGATTCCTGATTTGAATAAACATAGACTCATATGGCCTTTTTTGATTGAAGGTTATTTAAAAGTACTGTGATGGACCAAGATACCTCCTTAGTTTTATCATCTTAATTTATTTCTCGCACCAGTTGCAGAAGCAATACTTAAACACGCTAACTCCCTTCAGCAGTAAATCACTTTCCTGACCTGTCCTGCGTGAAGTATTAAGAAGTGGCCTAAGCAGCCAACGGGAAACTCAGCAAGAAGTCAGTCCATCTTCAGAAACTCTTTGCCCTTTTCTCAAACGGGTCAGCAGAGTGCCAAGCTCCGTGCAGGTGAGTAATGTACCAAGAAGTAAAAGATTCACAGTAAGGTGCATGTGTTTTTTATTATCTTACTCTTCTCCTGGTACTGAGGAGTATGTAAACATGCAGGAAAGAAGGTAGAAGCAGGACAGTGTCCGAAGTCAGCATTTTTTGATATGAACATAAATGAAAGAGGAGAACTTATTGGCCAACTTACTTTTGTATTTCCCTGCTAAGGCATAGATTTGATGGGGGGAAAAAATCATCAAGAAAGCACAGCAATTCATGCGTGCCTTTTTCACATGCAAGGCCTTCCAGTTCAATAGGTAGAAACAGCTGACTGAAATGAGAGGGATCCTTCAAACTTCACAGGGCATGAACACCTCTTCTGAGTTTCGCCCAGAGATAAGTACAACTCCTTCAGGTGCAGAGAATCCAGGCAGCTTGGCTGAGTAATGGCGTGTGCATTTGACAGATGTTATATGATTACCTAGCTATTTGTACGTATACCAAATGCTAGGGAATAATAAGAATTTAAATGGGATTTCGAATATTCATTTCTACTCCTTTGTAGCACCTTGACCAGAGTCAAGGCTATAATTAGCTATGGCAAATGAAAGCAATATTTTTTTGGACTTGTTTACTAACCCCAAAAACAGCGTCATATTTAACGTCTACAGCTCCATCTGGGCTGGTATGGCTAGATGGCATGGCAGAGTATAATTAAAAGATAGTAGCTTGTCCTTCCCAAGTTATGATAGCCACTAGTCAGCTTGGACATGATGACGAGTTTCTTCCATATTTGGAACAAATGCACTAGCAAACAGCATGGAAAACATCCCCCAGTCCTCTCCCTGCCAGATGCACAAACCATAGCAGAGACATAAAAGGCAGTTGGGAGACAGGGAGAATCACAAGACATATAAATATTTCTTCACAATCTAATGCAGTGAAAATACGTATCTTCTGTCAAATACAGAGAAATAGTTGTTTATGATTTAGTATCCAACACTTCTTTCTTAAAATACTTGCTTGTGTGAAGGGAAAGGGAAAATTTTAAAAGTAACATCCTAAAAATAAACATTACAAACTTGAAAAACACCCACATAACTCAATAAAAACCTATGGTAACTACTCTGACTAAACACGTACACCGTATGCCATGCACCTTTTTTATTGCAGATGAAGTGTGCTGTGGCCTACGGGCTGAAAACTGCTGCTCTTTTAATCTCTATGTTGGTACAACTGTGTTTGTAGAAGATGCTCAGAAATGAGATGAGTCTAAACTCATTGATTAACCTTAGTGATTAGTGTTTATTGAAGAAGATGGCTGCAATCGTATTTCCATAAGCTGTGCTGTAAGTGAAATCAAAAGCAAATGAATCGAAGGAATGAACAATGGCAAAACCTGCCACGACTATTTTGCACTGCAGAAATAGTATAAAGCCATCAGACACATTTCCTATTAGAAAATGCAAAATATTATGCAAGTTATTGTCATTCTCTTCCTCTCTCAGCTCTCAGATTACAGAGATCAGATTTAGAGAAGATCTGCTACATTTTCCACCTGCTACAAAAATATTCTCTCCCAGTGGCATATTACCTTTTACCCAACAGAACTGAAATATTTTCATAAATATGACTGCACCACTAATACAATACAGCCTGCAGGCAGTTTCTGGGATTTTTGCAGGCTTTTACCTACTGCTTCTTTCCAATCCAAAATAAGTTCAGTACAGACAATGGCTAGTTTACCCTCCCTGGAGAGAGAAAAAAAGTCACTTTCTCTGATCAGGATCTAACAGCTGCTTTAAAAAATGCTTTTATTGTTTCTGTAACTGATTGCTCCTATGGTATTTTAACTTCCTATTGCATCTACATAATATTACCATATCATACCCTGCAGTTTCTTATTTTAGTCTCTGGAACATTGAAGGAGCTTTGCAGTAGTGGCAATCAGCACACTGAGTCCCTCCTTCTGTGCCTTTGTCTTCAGTTTGTTGTATTTCTTTACTTTAACATCAAAAGCAGTTTTGTTCCTTGAGATGCAAGCCAAAAATTATAATAATTCTGTCTGCTTTAGAGCAAGTTTGTATGGCCTTATCATAAGCTATCAGGATTCAATAAGTAGACTTGCTAAAGCAGGAGCTCATTACGCATTTACCTCAAAAACCAAAGAAATTCCATTTCTCATCTCTTCAGAAGCAGTCTTCCAGTTTCTGCCCCACAATGTTTTTCTTGTTCATGTTTAACAAAAAGGGGCCAATTTCTGTCTCTCCTCCTTAAAGAATGCGGATCTACAAAGTGCCAAATTCAGTCAAGAAAGCAGTAGCCGATTCAGCACCCTTCTGACAAATTCCTATGACTTCAAAAACTAGAGGTACAGCAAATGTGGGGAATTCAAAACAAGATGGCATCAAGGAAAACGGTTTTGTCTTCTCTTAGACAGAAGTTAATCTGAAGGGAGGAAAAATGTGGAAATACTTTAGCTTGTCCCAACTTATTAATCCTTGCCCTATGAATCAGTATCTACTCATCACGATTTTAATGGGATGCATATGATTGCATTTAGAGTTGTGAAGGACGAAGCACAGTACAAGACGAGGCTCCTATAAGGAATAATTTAAAAGCTCCTAAATCCCTGTCTGTGACACTGTACGATCTGTCACAACCACAATGCACCCATCTGCAGATTTCCCCCACAGTACACACATATCTGCAGAGGCCAGCCAAAACTTTCTTTATTGCCCTTTCTCACACTTCTACCCAAATCACATCCTGCAAAGGGGATAAAAAAAAAAACAAAAAAGTACCCAAGGCAAATTATAATTGATTAATCACAACCGAATAGCTTTGAAAAGTCAAAAGACTGAGCAGGGGGAAGGGCAGACAATTTGTCACTGAGGTTTCCATCTTACCGCATGACAAAATCCGCTTGATCTATTTGTTTTCCGCAGCCGCTCTTTTTGAGAATCCCACCGTTTCCCACCACAGAGCATTTCTTCAGTGGCAGCTGGAAGGGTGTAGCCTAGCAACACAAAACAAGGACTGTTTTTACAGAGGAGAACACATACATCTTTGTAGCAGCTGCTCCTGAAGAACCAGGGAGCTGGCAGGGCTCAAAGTGAGGAAAGAAAACGGAGAATGAGGAGCTAGGAAAAAAGTCCAGAAATTAGCTGGTAAGTAGACAAAGGACAGTTCTTATCCCTGTTTCCCCAACCAAAATTCAAAAAAGATGCAACACAGAAGAGAATAACAGTTCTGCATAAACAAACTGCATAGTTACAAAGTTGTGATAAACATAATGACCAAGATAGGCACTCCAAATGTGTCTTCTAGCCAAGCTGCAGAGAGAGGAAAAAAAATTACCAAGAAAAAAAAGCCATGAAAGTGACCTTTCACATAAAAGACAGCTCTGGACAAGAAAGGAAGGAAGAAGGAACAATGTGAGTACAAAAGGGACTCAGGAGTTACCCTGTTTCCCTCCAGGAATCTTTCACTGGGCTGGGTCACCCTAAAGCATAAAGATATTTAGAGCATCCCAGCAGCTTCATAAGTGCTCAGCTCTCCAAATACAGCACAAACAAAAATTAGAAAACCATTTTAACTAAGGAGCCCTTGTCACAGCTGAGCAGGGCATTAAATTGCAAGGTCAAATTGTCATGCTATCTTATGTATCAAATTCAGTATTAAATATGATTTGCACAGTCTTCTTCACTCCAGAGGATCTCAAAGCTACATGTGGAACATCTTCCTGTCAGCCTTGAGTCATTCACTTTTAGTGGTGTTGAGGCAGTCATTTAAATAGCTCACAGTACATCAGTGTAGCCCAGCACAGATATGTGTGTATAGATATATGTGTGTGCGTGTGTGTGTTTGTGTGTGTGTATATATACATATGTAAAACAGGGTCAAGGGGTGAACAGCATAGGAATTTCAAGTAGTATGATAAAGCTATAAGAATGGACTCCATCTACAACACAGGAGTTAATATTCTCCTCATGCAAAAAAAAAAAAAAAAGTGCAGGAATTTTTCATTTATCAAACCTGTCAAAACCCGACTTTGCAGCAGAGACGGAAGCTACTGTCTAGGCCTCTGAGAATGCAAACGCCACTGTGACAGGATACAGCATAGCAAAACAATTATTTTCACCTGGACAAAAAGTTCCAACAGTGGCAACACTTACTGTCACTTAAATGTACAGAGCAACGTCTAACATGGCATAATGTATTCACGAGGCATTACAGCAGTGTACATAGCATAGAAAACAGATCCAGTGCTACAGCACAAACTCTGCATTTGTTGGTATTCATTTCTACTTTATCTTCTCCCTTAGATGTATTTGTTTCACCATCTATTCTCAGCAAATTAGATTCCATTCAGCTAGTATAAATACATAATCTGCTATCTAATAAAATAAATTAAAGCATTTTGCGTATCCTAATATATGCTAGAGTAGAAAAATCAATTCCAGTTTACTGAGGCCCACTGAGCCACTGCTGGGAACCCAGGGACAGCACAGCAGAGCAATACTAAGTATGCAACTGCATTCTGATTCTGCATTCGCCTTCCCAAGAACATTTTTTAATTTACCCAGTTATTGAACTAGCAGCATATCTTGAAATTCAAAGGACTCTTCATTGTTGAGGTGACAGTGACCAAATGAAAGCTCACAGGTTCAGTGCAGGGAGTGGGGTAGGGATAAGTTTTCATAAATAACATCACTATTCTTATTCAAGATATGTCAGAGCTCTTCCAAGACAGCCAGTTATGCAAAGACAAGGCTGCGACAAATAAATCACAAAGGCAGCAGCCGTTAACTTAAGAGCCGTGGTAACCCTGTCATGTAAATTTCTATGACTTCAGTACATGTTGAATTTCTCTAGACCCCCAAAACAAACATTAAAGAGTTACTAAATGCTTCAAAATTCTCAGTTGCAAACAGCCCTTGATATTTCTAGAGATGAATTCCTCTCCTTCAAAGGAGGCTTATATCCTGTTATGTTCAAAGATGATTATACTACTTATCATTTGCATATATACTTTCATTTCCACGAGCGTATGAATCTTTGAAACTCCTGCCCTTCAGAGAGCCCAAGAGACAGACAAACAAGATCAGAACTGAAAGGATGATTTGAGGGAGTTAAAGGGAGGAAGAAGTGGCAAATAAAACCACCACTGTGGCCTAACCTGTGAAGAAATCCACTCATACACAAGAAGAAAACCAAGCTGAATGCAGTTCTCTGTGAAAAGCCACCACTCTCAGAAAAGCCCACAGAAGCTTTTGCCTCCCCCAACAAAGTAATGAAAATTCTGGACATGACATAGACAGTTTGCATGCCATTGTTTAGCTTAAAACATTCAATAGGTTCAGCTCCCAGAAGACTATACTTATAAACTCAAGGCAGACATTAAGTGTCCCTGATGCTTGGAGGCATTTCAGCTGCTTTTACCCTAATGAAGAGAAATTCCTTAGCATGCTCTGGGAGAAACATGTATTTTTTTTTTTTTAACATTGCACATGACTGTTCTTCAGTCATTCAGGTTACAAACCTGCATATTGCTCAAACTGCAGGGACATTTCAGGAACTCTGTTCTCAGTCCATTTGTACAAACTGTCCAGTCGTATACAAATCATACAATTCAAGTGTTGCCTATGAGCTGCTATGAAACACGTGGCTCCTCTGTCTCTGCAAAAGGCAAAGAAAAAGCAGTACACTCCTGGGCTTTGAAACTGTTAGGAATCATAACCCTGTGATGCAGTTAGCAGCTGCAGAGTTAACCCACTGCAGGACCTCCAAAGGGTACTCACAGGACAGATAGCACAGGTAAAGGATCTTCAAAGCTAAAGTGCTGCGGGCTTCATTCTGTGACTTTACACAAGCATTCAGCTCATTCCTTCCTTTGAGCTGACCAAAATATAAAATGCAAACATCTTAAGCAAAATACCATATGGAAGCTTCACCCTAACATGCAGTTGAATTACTAGACCTGTTAATACCTTTCCACACCACTATTTGGCTTTCAAGAGGTTTCCCCGCATCCACTTGTTCCTACCACTGCCTCACAGGGTACAGACTGTGGATTTAAGGTTGAAATTAAATAATTATCAAAACCTAGAGTCATTTGTTTGGTTGTTTTGTTTCATTTAAGAGCAAAAAGCACTGAAGATGGACTCCAGTAACGATTTGTTTTCTTTCACTACTCTCTTTCTTTCTAACTAATCTTATGCCATCTTCATGGCACAGGTAATCTGTCTTCAGATGTTTTGAATGTTATGTTGAAGAGGTAGATCAATGCTGTAACTTAGTTGAGAATTAAACCATTTTTACCTTTTTTGTAAAGTAGTCTTAGGCATAAAATGTCAGTAGGAGGCAATTTTCAATCAAGAATGTTACATTTTTTTAAGGTGACGGTGCTATTTGGAGAGAATTCTATACAGTAAAAACAAAATTTCTTCTGAGTTTCTATTACTAGAAAAATATGTTTCAAAGAACTAATAAAAAATTTTCTAACGCTCTTCCTCTTTACCTCCCACAGTGCAACTCTTTGCTAGGAAAATCACCACGTGCTGGGGACCCAGCTGTCATTTATGCTAAATACTCAAAAAAGCTCAGTTGCTATTCTCCTTTGAATTATAATCTGGCCTGACAAATGCTTGCTTTGGATTGTAAAGTTGCAATAAAAGTATTTCCATTTATATTAGCTTCCTGAATCTGCGCTGTTTTTACTGTCAACAGATTTGTTATTTTCCTCATTGATTAAATTTTAATGAACAGATTCCTGTGGGTGGACTACAAAACTCAGCACAACAAAACCAGTTTATCCAGTGTAACAGAAAGAATATAAAAATAAGTGACCAGTGCACGTCCATCTTTAAGCAATCATTACAATAGAATTAGATAATATTATTAACTGAAAGAATAAAAAAGAAAAATAAACAAACCCTTGTATACTGCCATAAGCAGGGTCAAATCCTTAAAAAGTTTTAAAAACAAAAAGAAAATAGAAAGTTTTCATAAGGTGCTTTCTGAAAGGTATCTCTTCAAACGAAACGTAAAACAGAGACAAAACCAAAATAGTGAAACTCCACTGATAACCAATGAAGATGCTCTAGTTCCTATTTATGTAAATGAGGTAAGAAGCTGCACATCCTCCTATGAATTCAGTGACAAATAAGCACACAAAGCAATAGATTAATGGCTCCCAATTGAATACAGGAGTAATTTAACAGAGCATCTATGCAGCAATTCACTGATTAGTTTCATCATTCATCTAAGTAAAAATAAATCATTGTCATCAGTTAAAAGAACATTACACAATACTAATAAAACATAATTTATTTTAGATAATGGTATTCTAATTCACTTTGATTTCATTGTTAAGTTGTTAATGTGTTAATTTTTACCCACTCACTGCCAAAGACAGTTAATCAGCAACCAAGTTCTTACTGGAAAAACAGAAAAAATTACAGTGTTCAGCCTCTGATTTAATACTGATGATGTCAAAAACACTAAAAACATAGGGAATATAAATTAAAATAAAACGGGTTTTCAAATATGCATTACTGGATTTGGAACAAGATGCTGTGTTTTACTGTTCGCTTTGAGAAGACAGCATCCTGAAGAAAAAGGCCTAGTTCTCCTAATTCTTCTAAGGAGCCAACAAAATTGCAAGAGTCAACAAGAAGCCAAATTCGGCCCTGACTATTCTTTTCACCCTTCTGCATAAGGAAGCAGCTGACGCTTTAAAGGAAGCCTATATTTGTCTTAACCAGAGGTAACATGGCATTGTTTTTCATGCTGTTGGACATGTTGGGATGGAAAACACTCCTTCTTCTTTGCTTTATTGTTTACAAATCATCTTTGGTACGGCAGGCCTTTTGTTCCTCCACTGGAGCTGTCAAGCAGGGAGACATGAAGGCTCGACAGCAGCTGGCTCCAAAAACATCAACGTCACTCACACAGGGACAGTGTGTCCTCTGTAGGGGATCGCAGAGGGCGGATGCAGCTCCTCACGTTTCAGCTGTCTCTCTCAGCCCCAATGCTGCAGTCCCAAGTGAGCTGGATGGGCGCCAGCCCAGAGTGAGGGGCAACTACTGATAGCTATCCTGCAAATGTGACTGTGTTAAGAGGAGCTACTCCTCCGGAAGCAAAGAGGACTTCAGCCCGTCCCGAAAGTGCGCCACTGTTGACATTCTTTTCATCCCTGAAAAGTAACTGATATTTTCTCAGGAAAATAACTGTTTTCACATTAAAAAGAAATACTTAAAACCTAGCTTTGACATGAGGGCAGGCCTGATGACGGCTGCAGCTCCCCACAGGGAGTGGAGGGGCAGCACTGAGCTCTGCTGTGTGACAGCGACAGGGCCGAGGGAACGGCATGGAGCTGTCAGGGGAGGGCAGCTGGGGGTCAGGGACAGGGGCTGCAGCACAGGGCAGTGGGCATGGAACGGGATGCACAGGGCTGTGGGCACTGCCCCAAGTGGCAGAGTATAAAGAACATTTGAACAACACTCAGATACAGGGTTTGGATTTTGGGTGGTCCTGCATGCAGCCAGGAGTTGGACTTGATGGCCTCTGTGAGTTCATTCCAACTCAGGCTGTTTTATGATGCCATAATAGGTCTCATGTAGTAATTCGTAACTTTGAACATTTTCTATCATAACCCTATTTCAGCTTGGCCTTTCTGTTTATACTTACTGATTGAAATAATTGCACAAAGTTTGAAATGCATCCAACAGTCTAACAATAATTTAGAAGTTATTTTTGTGTGGAGAAATAAGAAAAATGGGTTAGAATGGGTTTATGTGTGCTGGAGAGACAGAAAATCTTTTCTCATAAATCTTGAGAGAATGTTGGGGGCTAGAAGATGCATAGATTTTAGGAAACCACAGTGACGCATTACTGGTAGATTTACTGAATGCTGTGTAATTCCTAAATTGTTTTGCATTCATGCAAAGGTCTATCACAAAAGCTGTGAAACCATGTAACCTATATTTTGCATGTGAAAAATGTCAAAATCACAATTAAAGTCTCTCCACTAAGACTTTCAAAAAATGTTTTAGCTACAACTTGAAAGAATTCTCTGTACTCTCTGAATACGAGAAATGTTAAGCAAGAAGCAAACAAAAATTTTGCCTTTAAGGTAACACTGTTATAAAACAGAGGGTTAGGAACAAGCATAGTTCACAGACTCATATCATAGAATGGCCTAGGATGAAAAGGACCTCAAAGGTCATCGAGTTTCAACCCCCCTGCTATATAAAGGGTCGCCAACCACCAGACCAGGCTGCCCAGAGCCACATCCAGCCTGGCCTTGAATGCCTCCAGGGATGGGGCATCCACAGCCTTCTTGGGCAACCTGTTCCACTGTGTCACCACTCTCAGTGTGAAAAACGTCCTCCTAATATCTAACCTAAACCTGCTCTATCTCAGTTTAAAACCATTCCCCCTTGTCCTATCCACCCATGTTGACAGTGATAGGACCCATAGTTAACTGTGTGTGCAACAGATCAAGATGAAACTCCTGCCAGACTCAGCTATGTACTTAACACACTAACCTTTTGTGTATGCTAATTATGAACAGTAGTAGATTAGCTGAGTGTGCTTTTTAAAGTACTGGACTCAGATACTAACAAATTCCAATATCTGACCACAAAGAAATTACTACAAGGAACTGTGACAGTGACCATGAAATCCCTCTAGGAGATGGGAAAGGAATCTCAAGATGAACCTCCAGCTACCTTAAATAGTTTCATTGCTCCACACAGGTGCTGTTAAGTAGCAAATGTTGAAATCTGAAGCTCAGTGCCCATACAAAAGAGAAATGGTCCAAGAAGAGCAAACTTCTCTGCAACACCATTCAAGAACATCTCAGCTATCACAGCAGTCATTATTGAACTGGAATTAAACACTGAATTTCATATAAATTTGTACCATTCGCAAATATATGTTTGTGATTATATTACTTTTCATGAGATTAATATTTTGTTATGCATTTGTATGGGATCATGCAATGACAAAACGTCACTTAGACTTAGCATTGCTCTACTGCAGCAGGAAAACCTCTTACATTCAAAAGGATACATGAAATATTAACAGGAGAGCAATCACACAGAAGAGACCACTTTGCAACATACCGACATATTCATAAGAAACATGGAGTACCAGTAACTAGCTGGTAGTCACTTTTAGTCCAGGCTGTACTTAGCAAGAACTTCAAAATGGCATGTTCTGTAATAGCTTTCCACCCAGTATGAAGTCGCTGCAACTACTCACTTGCAGTGGATTAAAAGAACTCTTCAAATTGCTACCACAGCATTTAATTTTATCCAACCAGCCTTCATACAGCCAGGATAGCACAATGTGGGGATTACGAAAAAAATACATTTGGAAATTGTAGCAGTTTCATTTAAAAAACAGACTTTCAAGGCTGTATCATAAACAGTATTTTAAATGGCGAATGCTCCAGAAAAATAAAATGCAAGCTTCTATTCTGTGTGACTTAAAAGACAAGAATACATTAATGAGTGGGAAAACTTGAAAGTTCCGGAAGACTTCTGGATCTAAGCTTTACAACCTGTAATTTACTGGAACCCCCAAACTTTGAATTAAAAATGGGAAGAGGAAATATTTTTTCATGATTAATTTGAACAAGGAACTCAACCTACTGGAGTTGAGTAGATTCTCTTACTCTGAAAGATGTTATAGTTTCCAACATTTCTACAACTGGAAGATCTCACAAAAGACTTAAGGTACCTTCTATATAGCTGCATTTTGATTTTCCTTGAAGAAACCAAGTCCTAAGTAAAGTGTACAAAAGGAAAGATTAAAGTACAAAATCAGCTTGACCAGTATCTGTAAATAACTGTCTATGCTGGTTCCCTAGACACTTTCCCATACACTTGAATAACTTGATTTTTTATTTTTTTAAATCTTATGTGATAATAAGAATAAAATTAAATTAATAGGCTGAATGAATAAGCTCTGCCTGCAACCACAGAAACAGTCAGCAATACTTTTCTTTTATCTGAACATTTGACAACATCAGATTCCATGCTGAGCTTAGAGGAAAACATCATCCATTATATGGGATTCTCGAGCTTGCTCTGCTTTGCCAGCACCTCAAAAGCTATGCACACAACACCCCTACAGTTAGAATTCAAGACTCAGTACTGTCAACTCACACTGTACAGCACTTACATATGGGACTGCAATTTGTCTTCTGGTTCACTGGCATACTATGGCAGAAAAACATTCAAACATACCAGGTATTCCAGTGGTTACTTAACGTTTCACAATGCTGAATATTTATCAGCAAGCATTTATCTTTTGGATTGGAGACCTAATTTCAGACACTCTTTTTGAAGGATTTGCCTGTCCTCTACTTTTCCTGTTTCTTTCTTAATCTACTCTAAATTTAAGCAGATGAGAGAAAGCAAAGAATTTCACATGCTGTGTGCCAGAACTGCATTGCTACAACACTTCTATGCTCAAACCAAAGATACACTTAAGTATTTTTGGAGTTTTGAGTAGATATTTCATGGAAGAAAGGATATTTCATCATCGAGGACAAAACTGCATTTTTAATGTTACGCACGTTGAACAGACAACAAGAGTAGCTGTAATGTGATTTTAAGAAATTCTTCCAAAGCCCAAATAAAATGCAGCAGAAACTTTTAAAATTAATCTCCTGGACTACAGTGTGCCATTTTCTGGCCAAGTAAGTTTTGTATTTAGACATACATTTTATCTTTCTGAGCTTAAATTTTTGGTAATTAACTATAATATTCTAGTTACATATGATTGCCCGGTGACAATGTCCTCCAACTGTAATTTCTCCCTCAGTGCTTTCATGATGGAAGAACAGTAACAAGACAAAATGAGACAGAGTAAGGAAAATCACAAGGTTTCTTAAAGCTGGTGCAGGAAAGACTAGAAACCCTACTCACATTTTGAATTATTCTCTTGTGAGAGTGGGGGATAACAGGCAGTCAAGTATAGAAAAATATCTGGAAATTGTGAAAGATTGAATTCCTGATCAAGTAAGGGATACTGCTCACTTATTATCCTAAAACAACAAAGGTTCTCACAGTGCTATTTCGTACATATGCCGCCACTATGCGGACAGACTAAGAGAGTTGAGGTTGTTGAGCCTGGAGAAGAAAAGATTCCAGGGAGACCTGGAGAACAGCCTCTCAGTATCTAAAGAGGGGCTATAAGAAAGAAGGGGACAGACTCTTTAGCAGAGTCTGTTGTGATAGGATGAGGGGAAATGGTTTCAAATCACAAGAGAAGAGATTTAGATTGGATATAAGAAAACTGTGTTTTTTATGATCAGGGTAGTGAAGCATTGGAAAAGGTTGCCCAGAGAGGAAGTGGATACCCCACTCCTGGAGACGTTCAAAGTCAGCCTGGACAGGGTTCTGAGCAACCTGATCTAGCTGCAGGACTCCCTGTTCACTGCAGGGAGTTGAACTAGAATAAATAATTGTGAAATATAGTAATAGCCTGTGTTGAACGTGAATGGGGATAGGAAAGAGAGCAAGCAGAAGGACTCTGAAGACGATGTCAAAAATCTGCATATATGTGGCTGATTTACTAAAAAGCACATTCAGCTAGAAACGAAAAAGTTCTTTAAATCTTACTAGTAGCATACAGTGCACACAGTAAGGCGTTTCATAAAAAATATCAAGGGCTTCCAATTCTACTGCGTATGAAAGTCACTAATACTCAAGCAAATGAATAGCTCTCTGAATGCCTGAGAGCTCTCTGATCCCATTGATGTGAATAAGGATCTGCTGTAAAAGAAACCAATTCAACTTCCATAGGCACCAAAAAATGGATTTAGTCATCAAATGATCAAATATCAAAGTTTGAAACTTTTGGCTTTTGTTTCTTAGGATATCTTAAAAGCAGTATACTTCCATTTAGCTAGTATATTAAACTAACTTCTAAAACCAAAAGATCTGATAATAAAAAGATTCTTGCCTTTGCTTTACCTCTAAATAGTTCTGAAGAATCAATGACATCTATTGAGAATCGCTAATTAAAAAGACATCAAAGTCAGCCAGCAAGGACTGATCTCTCTAGGAAATTTGCAATTAGAGGATGAGTGGAATTTAAACACTCAGCTTGGTTTTTGGGAATTACTGTTGACTTTCTTTAATAATTCTTCCAGATAATTTTTCTCTTCTCCATTAATGAGAAAAATTAAGCCTCTTAAGAAAGTTTCACTTTCATCTATCTATATAAAGTTTCACTTTGAACTATAGATTTTAAATCTCACATAGCACACAGTCAAATCAAATACATAAAATACACAAGGAAATGAGAAACAGCTTGAAGAATAACTATGTACAACTATGCTCCAAGGAACTGTTATATTCAAACAGGTCAGAAGCCTGCAATAATATCTATCTTATGTCTTTAGCTTGTTCTTCACCCACATGCATATCTAGATGGCATGCATGTTGCCTCCTAACGTAACTAACACAAGAAAAGGTAACCTATGAGCTGAAAAATGAACAACACTATTCTTGGATAAAATTCTTGATAAAATCCAGAAGAAAAAAGCATATAAAGCAAGGACCTTCATTCAGAATACTGTCCTTCTTTCAGCCAGTCACTCTGCAGAATCAAAGGGTTAATATAACCTTGCTGAGAAGTGAAAAAGACAGATAGCAAAACAGTAGGATTTACATATAATGAGTGGCTACCAATTTTTTTTTAAAGGAAGTATTTAGAAGTTATGAAAGAGGTTTAGAAGTTCAGAAAGGCAGGAGGAAAAGCCATCATGATTACAAAATCAATGCAGTTTCCATAATATGCTTTATTTTTCCAGTAATGAAAACACATCTTGAAAATGAATAGTATTGCACACAGGCAGCCTCATCTCTCTTGTTTGAACTCCTTTGAATTAACTTATTATTGTATCAATAATAAAATACTTAGCAGTATAAGATTAAAATGGGGGACAGCATCATTTCACTATGTAACAGAGTTGGTTCCTCAGACAACAAACAGAATTTATTATTTGTTGCAAACCGATTGAAAATAAAGTTTGGAAATAACTCCTCCATTGAGACAAAAGCAAAACAAGGGTCTTGACTTCAGGGACCAAAACCAACCTACAACTAAAGTCTCAGTAGTGCAGTTTACATATCAGGATCTGAAAACTGGAAGTCCACTTAATTTGTGCACACTAAGGCAATTCTAGCTACTGAGACACCTTTTTTCATCTGCTGGTGCTTCCCATGGGTTAAGCATCATACGATAATTCAGGCTGGGAGTGACATCAGGCAATCTAGTCCAATTTCCTGCTCCAGGAAATGCTCAATACGTGCTGTTTCTCATGTGCTTCAGTGTCAGTTCAGTGATTTTAAACAGTAACCTGTATGATTGTTTAGCTGGTAGCATTTATCCTGTAGCGTTTTGAGGAGCAGCAGGACAGGGGCTGACCAAAGGGGCCAGTCAAAGCCTCTGCCCACCTGTGCCAGCATGTCATGACCCTGGTCGGCTTCGGATCGACAAGTGCTATGGTGGGATGGGGCCCTTCTACTAGTAATTTTTTGACTGATATGAACTAATAGAGCACCCTCCAAGGCTCACAGAGTCCCACCAGAAGCACACAGACCCCCTGCGCCTCCCCATCCCCCAAGTTGGCTGTGGTTATTTCTGTTTGGATCATGGAAGGTGCTGTTTCTGAGGTCTGGTTTTCACTCGAATTCAAGTAATAAGGAACCACGGGCCTCTCTGAGACAGCTCTTAATACTTCTTCATACCTTGATACCTATTCTTCCTTCAGTTTGGTCAGTAGAAATGTCTTACAGGTACACAAGCAAATATTGAGTGCATAAATTCAAAAAATAATGTACTGTTCCCTGCCAGAGGTGGCAATTTGGAAAAGCCAATGTCACAAGTTTTAAGAAGCTGTAAATCTATTCTGCCAGCTAAATAAAATGCCACAGAAATCAGACTAGCAAATAAGGCATCATACTGCTTGGTTTGTTTGTTTTTTTTCCAAAACATGCTGTCAGAACCAATGAATAATTTTTCAAGCATCCGATTAGACTAAAATGAATTCATTTTTCACTAACATCTATTCTCAAACCAAAAAGCAATTCAAAGGTAATCTAGTGATAAT